TTATGCAAAAACAAAAATAAAAATATTTCAGTTGGAAATTTAACCTTCGTTCTCTGTTGAATCGTCAGAAAAACATTCTGAATCATCATCATTGTCCAAGGAAATAACTAAAGAGTCGCACATTTCTTCTACTACAGTCAAAATTCGTTAATTCAGACACCCATAATCCGGAATGATGTATAATCTGGACCTCAAAACTACAAACTTTCTGCGCAAGCATCGCGTTGATGCATGCGCATAGGCGTTTACGTGTGCGGGTAAGACCTTTACGGCTGCGAATATGCGTGTGCGCATAAAACATTTACGCATGCGCGTTTAATATATAACGGACAGTATAAGCTAGGCTAAAATTATCTAATTCAGTTAATGTTGCAGATTGGGTTGTTCCTTAATCTTTGAATTGGATCCGGCTTTTTTTGTGCGACTGTTAGAGCAATTTATAAAAGTAGCTTGAACTTTCGATTATATCAAACAGAATTTCAATATATATTTGCTAATATGTAAAGGATCTAAAGCAAAAGTATGTTTGAAATCCGAAATCTGTTTATCAATTTCATGGCTTGGCGGGGGGACGCGTGCGCGCAATGAATTGGAATTGATCTGTCAGCACTATTTTTATCTTAGGGCAGATGTTTTTATTTATTTGGCTTATAATTCCTTACTAATGTAGTATTTCATCTCAATGTACTCCGTCTTTGATATGATTTAAAACAAGTTCTCGTCATATAATCGGTTCCGATAGTAGTGACATAGAGGTTATTGAAAACGAAAAAATTTCGATGAAAATTAGTCGGATTCTCGACACAGCAATTTTGAATAGCGGAACTTTGTAAATAAAACAAGAAATTATGTCTGTTAATAGAATTAAAGAGAAGTATTATCACATGAAAGAAGAAACTTAAACAATTGCATTGAAAGAAATGTTTAATAAAGTAAACAAATAAATATTAAGCTTTTTCTTTTTGTAAATTTGATACTCTTTAGATCATAATTGTCTTTATTTCATAAATTATGGTTTCATATTTTTAATTTTGTAATTTCTGCATGCCATCTTACCAGATTTAAACTAATGATCTATAAATCCGGAATCGCCGAAGTCCCGACGAATCCGGATTAACGACTTTTGACTGTATACCATCTTTTTCCCAGTAAGCATTTTCCAAGCTTTCTACAGGTGCACAACAGTTCTTCCATTTTTCAATTGTAACATTGGCTAACCTTTGGAATATGGTAACAGTTAGTTTGGCGACATTTTGGTAAGGCGATAAAGGTAACTAGCTAGGACTTACCTACACTCATACACCGTACATGGTGTACATGGATAAAATTAAAAGTGTGCACAATGCTGTTTTTGTGCAATTCTGGGATGTTTTTTTAAGTGAAAATAGGTCGACGGGTACATGGATGATACCGTGTATGTGCAATTCTTAAAACGCGGCAGGAGTGGCGATTCGCACTTTGTCCCAATTTCGCCTAATCTTCATCATGATTAAGCACTTTTGTTCCATAAAAGTTCTAGCATAAGCATAATTTGGCTAGCAGATTGCTGGAAAAAAAGGTTGAGTTTAAAAAAAAAAAAAAAAAAAAGATAGATGCCTTTACTTCGTGAAAACAAAATGGCGTCCAAAACAAAACTAGCAGGTTGCTGTAGCAGGGTTAATCGCCAAATTTTAGCCAAAAAATCGTCAAGTTACCATAATCCAAAGATTAACCATAACATTTTCTATAGCGTGTTCAGTAACCTTTAAGAGTTTTTCCATGTTTATATCTGCCGTTATGTTTTGTGCACAAATAAAATGTTTGAAAATGTCTGCCCAAACATACTCTATAGCATTTATGTCACAGTGATATGGTGGCAGTCTCAATGCTGTGAATCCATGTTTGGCGACATTTTGGAGGCGATAAAGGTTACTACATAGGACTTTGGTAATAATGTCAGAAGTACTCAGTTCCAATTACGCATTATTTTGTGTGAGGGAAATGACAGATCATGAGATATGTCATGTGACATAATGGACGATTACAGTTCTTAATCGGAAAGGGGGTAAATTTGGAAAAATATCTGTAGTAGTATATTATTTTATTAGCGTCATTGTGTGTTGTGTGAAATAGTTTGATTAATTTTCGGATTGCATGGTGCTATTTAAATGATTTCTAAATTTTTAATGCGTTTATGATAATTCAAAGAATTGGGTGAATGGGGTATGAGTGTAGGTTTAATTGCGATAAGTATGAATGTCCAAAGGGGAATGAAATGAGTTGGTAAAAGGAAGATATTACAGATAAGTTTGAATGGCGGTGATAGAAATCTGTGAAAATGGACATTTGTGAAGGAGTGTAAGGAGGGTACATAGTTTGCTGAAAGTAGTTTGAGTATGGGTGAAATTTTATTAATTTCTTATTACTGGGTGAATAGACTGCCAGTTGACTACTGGATTTCGGATTGAAATTAGCAATAGTACTGCAGCCGCTTGGAACTCTTCTATGGAAGTGTCGTGCACGTATGAAGATTCTGAAGAAGATAAGTAAGCTAGTATTTTTAATCATTTGAGGATATTATTTTATGCATTGTTCTAAATGTAAAGAGTAAATAAATTAATATGGTATTATGGAAAAAACTTTTTATTAGCAATGATTTAGTTTAAAGTAATTAGGATTGTAATCTAATTTTATTATTAATGTCTATGCTTTTTAGATTTTAAGTAGTGTTTTTAATTTAATTATATTTTGATTTAATGATCGTGATTTTGTAAGTTATCTTTGTAGTATTTTGGAATACTTTTGAGTAGTATACGTTGAGTATTTCATGCATTTTTGTTGAAATTTCTAATTTATGAGAGAAAAGCAGTGTACTGGATATAGGAAGAGTGTGCGCAATGCCATTTTTGTGCATTCTGGGATTTTTTTTTAAGTAAAATAAGTCGACATTTACATGGTTATTAATTTTATTAAGTTTAATTATGTTTTTGTTTGGAATTTATGTTTGTAGGAATTTGGTATACGTTTCAGTTGAAATAAACGTGTATGGAAATAATTTAAATATTTGACACTAAGTATTGTAACTATTTTTATGTTTGCGTATAAATTTGTTAGTGACGTTATATATAATAGATAATTTAGAGGTAAAAGCTTTTGGATTTTATTTATTTATACGTGGAAATGTTCATCCTTGGAAAGGGTACTTTTTCGCGATCGGTAATTTCATATATGTGCTTTAAAATGAGTTTAAAGATTAAGAAAATTTCCTGCAATTTTTTTAATTTATGAGAAAATAGCAGTATAGATGGATAAAGTAAGCGTGTGTGCAATGCATTTTTGTGCAATTCTAGGATGTTTTTTTAAGTAAAAATAATCGACGTGTAAATGTTTATGTGTAGTGCTATTCTGAAATCGCGCAAGGATTTGCGATTCTGCACTTTTCCCAATTTGCAGTTAATATTTGTCATGATTAAGCAGTTTTGTTACATAAAATTTCTAGCATCAGTGTAATTCGGCTAGTAGATTGTTGGAAAAAGTGTTGAGTAAATAAAAAGAAAAGAAACATGTCTTTACTTCGTGAAGATAAAATGGCGGCGAAAAAAAAAATAGAGGGTTGCTGTAGCAGAGTTGGTCGCTAAATTTTCGCCAAAAAATCGCCAAGTTACCATAATCCAAAGATCAACCAAAATTTCTAACAATTCCTAATAGCAAAGCAAGAATGTGCCCTTCTATCTAGAAATAAAGTAACTTTGTCATATTTTAATCCATCTCAGTAATGTAAGCTCTCTCCTTTGCTGGCTCTAAGGATATAAAACATTATGTTGAAAAACTATTAAATTACAAGTGTGTTTATTTCAGCAATTACATTACTTGACTGTGCATATTTTGTATATTTTATGAATTATGCTAAAAATAAAGAATATCTGCAAGTTCCTAATTACTTGTTCTGCTTATTAGTATAACTACTTTAGTGGAAATCACCAAATGTTCAAAATATGCCATACTCTGGCAGCCACACCTATAATAGTTCTACAGTTTTAATAAGCAATATCACCACTTACATGTATGTTCTGTTCCAAGTCTCAATGGTTTTCACAGACAAATCATGAAACAAAACTGAATAAAACCATATAAAACAATTTAAGTATACCGAAATCGTTGTCGTAATATATATTTTGATTAAAAGTAGACAAAATTGATCTTGATTTTATTGAAAAAAAATTTTTGCAGTTTTAGAAAGTATGGTAAGAGATGTTTCTTCAAAAAGTAAAAATATTCTGCCAAAATATGACATTTTTAAGATGTTACCAAAAAATTAGATATTTTTCCAGTAAAGCTCTAAATTTTGGCAGCATTTTAGTATTAGGCTTTGTTAATTTGTATGTTATTTTAAATTCTTACATGGTGAATTTTATTAGTTAATTGTTATCACATCAAATATATTTCAGCTAAGGCATAATTCCATGGCAGATTGCTTAAATATTTAGTCACAAACACTTTTAATCATTTCTTTTCAAAGGTAAAAACGAAAAAAAAATTTAATTAAGAATTTATGTTAATATTTAGAAAGTTCTTTTTACCTAAAACTGAAGCTTCTTTAGCAGAACAGAAAAAATAGTGGAAGCCTCAGATATTAAAAAATACAGATGATTTTCGGCTTAAAAAATAAAATACAATGATCTAAAACGAAAACAATCCATCAACAGAACTACTACTGCAGGCTCTTCACTTTGTATATAATTAGTAATGAACATCAAAGATATAAAAAAGCAATTATTTTCTTAGAAATAATTAGCTTCTGTCAGAAATTTAAATTATTTCTTTAGCAATAACTGATCCTGACAGGAAATACTTAAAAAATACCTTCGAGATATCAGCAGTATTTATTAAAGGGCAGTTTCGTAAAATCAACAGTATTTATTGTATTATTTAAGGGCGAATTAAAATTGTTCAGAATTAATACAGGAGATTTTAAACATAATTTGATAAAATATAATTAAAACTTTTTTTTTTTTTTTTACCATACACATATCTGTACCATGCTCTATTAACTTGCATACACTGTTTCAAATCCCTATACGGTGACAAATAACTTAAAATATATTCAATAATTGGATCGGGCAGATCTTCTATTGTCGCTGGCATTTTGTCTTTCATAATGATTTTTCTACATTGAAACTGATCTGCTTTATCGACATATTTAAAAATTATATAATGTTTTCCTGTCAAACTACATCAATATCCTGTAAAATCACACAAACAACCAGAACGGTATATGCAAACTTGATGCCAAACTCAAAGATAAACTTTTAAAACATTCTCTTTCAGACTGTCTACTGTTTGATTGCTATTTTTGATTATATTAGGAATATAAGGTTATTTTTGATAACAAGTAGAGAAATAATATGCCTGTGTAATATTTAATGTAATCTAAGTATGAAATATTATTTTACGAAATTGTTTTTTAATGACTTTTAAAAAGAAGAAATTGTAAGGAAGACTATCAGATCAGAAAAAAAAAAAAATTTGAAAATACCTTCTGCTAATGCTGAGTTTCGATATTTACGATAGCATTAAAAACACGTAGTCTAAAGAATGTTATCTGTTGAAATATACAACTCCAATTGTTAATAATGTTTACTTCGAGTGAAACCGTTATTTATTGCAGACTGTTTTTTCAAGTACTTTGTTTTAATTGTGTAACATCTGCCGGCTTTTTCTTTCCCCCCGTTTGAAGAGATAATATCCAGGAGAGTGCAGACGTGGATAAGATCATGTGTAATCCATTCAGTTTTACTGAGACGCTTAAAGTTTCCTGATTTTGTTGTCTTTTAATTCAAAATGAGTAAGTATTGAGTCATAAATTTGATTTTTAAAGTGCAATGTTATAATTCAGTATTTTTATGAATCAAATCTATGCTAGTCGCTCAGCCGGTACTTATGGATATTTGTGTATATTTCGTAATTATAACTAAACGTATTGTTATGTATTGTTATGAATATGTAAAGAATGATCTTTAATTAGTTTCCGTTTCTTTTTCGATAATTTGTGTTTAATTCACCTTTCGTATATTGAAACAAATCCTAAAAATTAAAGATGGCATTAGCTTTATTGAATACAAGTTTGAAGTATATGTATGTAGAAAGGCTGGTGTAAGTATGCAGATTTTTAAGTGATTTTTGAATCTTCACATTTGTTCTTTAATTGTGCAGAAATTAATGTAAATTTTACATGCCTTAAGCTTTTTATTGAATGTATTTATAACATCTCAGACTTCATAGAAATCTTAATACATGCTTAATAATCTTACATAGAAATCTTGATTATTGAAGAAAATTTTGTTTTTATGTAATCCTTAAACCAGCTAAAATAACCACAGAATAATGGAGTGTACAACAATCCATGAAAAAGAGATATTTTCTGATTATTAATTCAGAATGTGCTTGCCAGTGGGCATTTTTCCTTCTGATATTTGCCTTAGAAGTTTTGATATGTATGTATTGATGTACTTCCTAGATACTAGAATAAATGTTACTAAATTTTTATCTCTTAGCCAGTTAGATGATTAATTTTTTTCTAATTTGTTTATTAATTTATAAGGTTATTTTTGATAACAAGTAGAGAAATAATATGCCTGTGTAATATTTAATGTAATCTGAAATATTATTTTACGAAATTGTTTTTTAATGACTTTTAAAAAGAAGAAATTGTAAGGAAGACTATCAGATCAGAAAAAAAAAAAATTTGAAAATACCTTCTGCTAATGCTGAGTTTCGATATTTACGATAGCATTAAAAACACGTAGTGTAAAGAATGTTATCTGTTGAAATATACAACTCCAATTGTTAATAATGTTTACTTCAAGTGAAACCGTTATTTATTGCAGACTGTTTTTTCAAGTACTTTGTTTTAATTGTGTAACATCTGCCGGCTTTTGCCGGAAGTTAATTTTCCCCACCTTGTTTGAACTGTATTAAACCTAAACTGCATAATTTGTGTTATTTGAGCATTTTGCCATTTGAATAGAGTTAAAATCTTTAGTTGGAGATTAAGCAGATAGAATTTAGGCTCTGTAATTTTCTCATTGTATTATGAGCAATGGAAACAAAAATTAGCAATTATTTGACATTTTTCAATCAGTCAAGAGGTAAAAAGTATTAATTTTTTTACAAACTGGTACTCATAAATACCTCTTTCGTCCATGACACTCAGATATTTTGACTCTTCCTTAATCTTTAGTGTAGTATTTATATTTATTACTGCCTTTTTGGCAGGGGAGAAATTGACTTTTAATCTGACCAAAAAGATCTGGCCTCTGTATTTTTTTTGGGGGGAGAGGGGCATTAAAACTGTTTAAAAAAGCACTTCATTATTTTCTTTTACACCCTTTAATTTTATGCATACTAAATATCAGATTTCAGATCACCAAAATTCAAATCATAAAAATCATAATTTCAGCCTTTTTTTTTTAAATAGTCAATGGCCAATATAATATATTTATAAATTTAGAAATAATGAGTAAATTTTTAACCTCATAATGCACTCAACCGAGTTAACTAGGGTGCTCAGAACTAAATTATTTCAGCGCACCTAAGGAAATATGTTCAGTTTTTTTTTTTTTTTTTTTTTTTTTTTTTTTTTCAGGTATGAATACTACAGGTGTCTGCTACAGTTTAGAGTTAAATTAAAGAATTAAAAAAAATGGTGGGGAAAAAGACCACTTTCTGAATTTTTATTGGTGCAATAAGGGAGTTAAGGAAAATATTACATTTTCGCTCAGTATTCAGTGTCTAATTAAGAATTTTTGCTAGTTATTTCGTTCAAATGTTAAAAGTTTATATGCCTTTACCAACTTTGTCCACGTCTAAAGAATTTAACATTTTGTTGTTTTGTTTGAAGTTATCAATTGAGAAAATTATTCAACTGAAGCAGGAGTAGGAAGGTAGTTGTGTAGCTTCATAGAGTCCTAAAAGCCTGTAATCTTAGTGTTAATCATGTGTCTGTAATCATCATAGTAACAAGATTATTTCAATTTTTCATTTCTTTCCTCTGAAAAGTATTTGATATCTTTTAGAGAAAAGAATTTTGAGTAAGTTTTTGTGTGTTGTAAAAAGTCATGATGTTTCATCAAAACATTTTTCCGTTTTTTCTGCTTGTTAACTATGCTTTTAGAATACACTGAAGCAGTTACAGCAGGCTAAAAAGTGAAATGATTCTGTGTGCTGGTTGCACTATCCCTTTAGTACCTTTAAGTGTTTATCCAAAAATGGATCTTATAAAATAATCATCTATATTTCTACTGCTGCTGACATGGTAGCATTGTTATTTTGCACTTTGTTAATACTTCCTTCAGTGATTTATTAAGCAGGTGAACCAGGTGAGAATAAATTCTGACATCATTTAAAATATATATTCAATTTATAGCTGAAATTCTTGTGCGTCTTGCAATCTTGCTTTATTAAGTTCATAAAATTTTCGCAAAGATACTTTTCTTCTGAATTCAATGTGATATTGTTTAGAATTTGAGGCATTAATCTGCCTTTTTCTGAATTTGAGCCAGTCGTTAGCATTATGTGTGTTTTTAAAGTATTTTTATAAAATCAATCAAAATTTAAATTCCCTTGCAGAAATCTTTAGCTATCTATTAGCAGTAATATAGTATGTCACGAATTAAAAATTTGCTTATTATTATTACAGTCTGGATATCTGGAGTCGTTGGATCTTTGGCGATTCTGGATTTTGGAAATTCCCAGATTTTATATAATTTATTAAATCTAGTTAGATGACAAAAAATGATAAAATTAAAAATGTGAAATAATGAAGCATTTATGACCTTGCAAGTTATGCAAATTGCCATCAAGTCCTGTATTTCCCATTAAATAGACAGTTGAAATGTAACCTGCAAGCACGTACACTGGGTCCAAGGAATCCGCATGATTAAACCGACCTTTCTCAAAGCACTCTTATTTCCGCAAGTTGCTGAGGTCCTGTGTTGTTGTGTGTTAGATCAACCTCTTTATGTTTTCGAAGTTTTCCCACTGGTGATTTGATTCAGAGTCTTGATTTTGATTGGTTCGGGTCTTTTAAGGTATACTATTTTTTTCTTAGGCTAATATATGATACGATTTTCTATTCCTTTAAGAAATTTTATTTCATTAAAGTATTTAGAGAAATTAAACAGTTTAATATGCATATTTTTAAAGTGTAAGATAATAAAATTTGTTATTGGCATGGATGTAACACTTTTTTTTTAGATTTACAATATTTTCTTCAAAAAAACACCGTTCAGGTGTAACTCATAGGAGGGAACATGCTGCCAGGTTAACCTATTCTTTTACTTCTTTTTTTATTATTTGTCAGGATATTTTCTGGATTTAAAACTAAGAAAGATACTACCAGTTTTGTTGTCTGTTAAATGATTGATGATTGGAACATTGTTATTGCAATGAAGACTTCAATTATGTCATTTTTATTTAGCCTTTTTTTTTTTAATACATACTCCATTAATCAAGTAACTTTGTGGGTTTTTTTTTTTTTTTTTGTTAAAACCATATCATTTGGCTTCTTTTTTTTTTCCCCCCACAAGGGTGTTTATGCAGTGCCAGATGCCACTAATTTGGTTTGGCTTCTTTGTTGACTCAGTCACGTTTTTCGTGTAATTATAGTTTAATAAAAATTTTTCAAATAATTAAATGGGTTTTTAAGGTATGGAATTTTTCAAGAGATGAACAAGTGGCTATCCTGTTTCTCAAGGAGAGAGGATTAACCAAACAAAGGTAGAGTTTGAATGACCATCTCATGAAATTTGATGATTCATTTCAAATGAATCAATCAATTCAATTTTCAATGACATTTGAATGTAATGGATTCATTTCTTCCAGTGCTCCCACCATTGTTGAAAACACATGTGAAATGCAGCTTTTTGAATTGGTGAGCAATTGTTTCATCACATTCCACATGTGTTCTCTTGACTCAATTTGGGTCCCTTTTAGTGGCATTTTTAACTTCGGAAACAGCCAAAAATCACATGGAGCCATGTCAGCGAGTAGGGAGCATGACGAACCACAGGAATGTTGTGTTTGGAGAGGAAAGCCTGAATCAAATGTGCAGAATAGGCAAGTGCGGTATCATGATGAAGCTGCAAAGTTTTTGCTGCTTGCAGAACCTCTCATTTGTACTGCACAGTATCAGGAAAGTGACAAAGAAACTGCTGATAACACTCCTTTGTGATGATTTGGCCTTACTGGACATACTTATTGTTGCACCTCTCAGGGCTACAACGTGCAGGTTACAAATAAAATAATCACAGCAGGGATTATTAATATAAAGATTTAATATGGATATCTCACACAACCTGAAAACATGTTACATTGCTCTATCAATAACTGCATACATATAACTGAGTGAAAAGGAAATTTCTCCGCTTAGTTCGCAGTTAAAGAAAAAAATAAAGAATAATAAAAAATAGTCCAATGAAATGCGGCGCTCCGTCTGTCGATCTTCGCCGAGCCGTTATGTAATCGTCTGTCTCATGCAGCCGTCTCCAACATTCTCCCCCTCTTTGAGTCAACTTCAGGTTGGCTCAAAGACATACAGTACCTGGTCGAAGAGATCCAATTTCTGAGGCACCTTGATCACATGTCTAAATCTTGACACTTTAGTACCTTGCAAGATGTTACTCGAGTCATTTGAAGAGTCATTAAAATCTATCACAGCTTGAGTCTTTAGTTCTACAGGTCTGACCTTGCCATCTTTCCCAGGAATTAGTCGAATGACCTTAGCTAAAGGCCAATGCATCCATTTTTTGATGTCATCTCCTATTAGGACAATTTCACCCAACCGTA